CGTGAAGTTAATACATCACCAAAACAGTCTCACCCGATAAATAAGTGGAGTAGGCCGCAAACAATTGTTGCTGTAGATTTTGTGAACTATATCCATACAGCAGTATCCTTTGTTTGGTAGATATAACCTGCTGCACGATGCTGCCGTCCGGGATGTCAGTCATCATGGGGTCGTCAAAATCTGTAGGCATCGTTTAGTTCGCACACCGCAGGCCCACTGAACAAACTCGAGACGCGGCTCACACGGTTTTCTTCGCAGAGCACACAGGTCGACAAGCACAGATAGACGCAGAAAAAAAAACAGAAAAAACGAAAACAACATACAAGAGCGATTTGATGATAGACTGACCCGCACCAAAAAAAGAAAGGACCTGGATATGACCCCAACACGGCAAAAATGGGGGCGGACGAAGAAAGAAAGAAAAGAAAAGGAAATGGAACAAAAGAAATAAAAACAGGACATGAACCAGATGGTCCCATCGAACGCTACACCGCAACAACCAAATAGACATACAAACACCAAAACGACAACATCACAGACGGCGATCGGCGCAAAAACGCGGAAGCGAAAAATAAACAACACACCGAGCCTTGACCTGCCACCGGGGGGGGACAAAACATCGTTCAGGCATATGCCCCGGTGACGTCGTAAACCTAAGGCCGCGTACCGCTACTCACGTACCCCGAGTATGCAACACCGAAACTAGAGTTGGGACCCAGAAGTCGAGGCTCTCTTGCTACCCCCTCTTTGTGTATCTTTCTGCAGCGCCAGGTCGTCTTTCATTACTTGTCCTAGCGGGCAGGCGAAGAGTCCCAGGGTTGGCCATGAAGAGAGCCGCCCCCCGCCCTCCCGTCGTTGTAGTTCGTACCCGGCCTGCTTGCATATTGACCATCGTCATAAATTGGTCCACGAGGGCTACGGCGACTGTCGGTGAAAAGCGATCAGACAAAATACTCGCGGCTTGCCCGAGCTTCTTCGTTACGTCGGCGTACAACACTTGTCTATCCTGGTCCGTGGGCCCCTTCTCCTTCAAGTCCAACAGGACCGTCTGCACCGTCTGGCTGCTCCCAACGAAAGACTTCCACCTCCCGCTGCATCCCCCCCCCCCCCCCCCCCCCCCCCCCCCCCCCCCCCCCCCCCCCCCCCCCCCCCCCCCCCCCCCCCCCCCCCCCCCCCCCCCCCCCCCCCNATTGGTGTCATCAGACATCGTCGAAGTCGCAGTACGCCAAACGACTGAAAGAGAAGCCTATGACTTGACGCACCCATCGCCACAGATGTATGTACACGTGAGCCGGACGATCGCAGTGCACCGACCAAGTACATCAATCCCGAACAACAGGGGCTGGACAAAAGCCACATGTTTCGAGCAGGTCGTAAACATCAGCGGCATGTAGGGAGTTGTTTACTGGTCATTCACTGACGGCGTACGATAAATTGGTCAAGATGCACTCACCAATGGCATAGTAAGTAGGGGGGTAAGGAAAATAGCCGCCCCCAACCCCTACAGACGTTGAAAAACTCCCAAAAACAGCGACAACGCTACATGCGCTGTCGTTCTCGAACAAACGCTCATGGCAGATGACGCATAAACGCACCTTCAACTCTTGATGTCGTCCACGAACCCACGGAGAACATCAGGGGCGAAACATATTCCGCCCACCGTGCGCGGTCGTCATATACCACTCGCATGTACTTCTCCGCCTTCGGGTACTTTTCGATGAGGGCGTTGAACTTCCGTTCGAACTTCGCCAATGACAGCTGCTGACGCACACACCTGAACTCGTCCATGAAAGGCTGCGGAAAACACAAACGACGTAGGCCGGGTGGGTGTTGCGTGAGTTGGGACCTCGGCGATGAGCTACCGGTCTGTACGATTGACTGCCCCCAACAACCCCCGTACATTTNCCGCTAAGGCGAGACGAGGAGAGGATTGGAAAAACTCAGCGACAAACCAGTGGTGCTTACAACCTGCTACTGCTGCTGCTGCTTTTTCTGTGTGCACTGGACGTCGTGAGGTATGTTTCCGTCGGAGTCGAGGTCGTCTCCGCATCACGGTCTACGCAGAGACGCTGGATATCACTCTTCCAAGTAGACGACAACGCCACTGATCCATGACAACGCACCAACTCGCACAGGGGATACAAGCGGGAGTGGGGGAGGGGGGCTAGAGTGGGCAGCGTACGTCGCGCGACCAGGACATTACGAGAGGCCAGACTAACCACGCCAACACACACAGTAGAGCGCACCTTCATGTCCCCACCAAGGACTTTAGCGAGGGCCTTGATGATGTTCTGGTTGAGGTGCCATAAACAGCGCCTCGCCAGCGCGTCCGGGAACACCTCGCGCACCGCCGCCGTCATCGCCGCATCCGCGTCCTGGATGAAGATATCCGGCTGCTTCCCCCCGCGAGACTCCAACGCACTCTTCAACATCCACAGGAGAGCGTCCGTTGTGGTGTCCGCCGTTATGATTTGGCCGACGATCCGCGTCCGATACTCCGAATCGATGACAGCGAGCACACCGAGGGGCATCCGGTATCTGTTCTTGACGGCGGTGTCGTCGTAGAGCGCAACGTGACCGTACCGATTCCAAAGCGCCACCTGCTTATTCGGAGCATGACGTCGAAGGGGGTCGAAAGCACTTAATTGTAGGTGTGACGTGTGTTGGACGCGTCACAACGCACCCTCACCCTTGCCTACGGCCTGCTTTCGGTCAGACGTCCTACATTTGCGGACGGCCAAGCTGTACGTGCGAGATGCTAAAATGAAAGCACNCGTCGAAGGGGGTCGAGAGCACTTAATTGTGAGTGTAACGTGTGTTGGACACGTAACAACGCACCCCCACCCTTGCCTACGGCCTGCTTTCGGTCAGATGTCCTACATTTGCGGACGGCCAAGCGGTACGTTCGAGATGCTAAATGCTCGCAAACCTTCCGGCTGGGGAATATTCGTATGGGGCACAACGACCGGCGACCTACCTGCTCTCTCGTTTGCCACCAGATGTGCGTCAAGCGGCCGCTGTCATCCATCTTTATCTCGCACACTCCGCCGTCGGCCGTCGCGGCCAAGACCTGAANCTTGGTTTGGTGTCATGGGGCATATATTCTCTCGGTTGTCACCTGCGATCGTGTGTGTCTCGCGCCCGGGTACCGCCTTGAGCAAAACCCCAACATCCCACACACAAACAAGAGGCAACACTCTCAACGGACACATGGACACACCTCTTCGTATGCATCGGCGGCATCTCTCGGCTTCTCCGCCCCGTGCACAGTGGCAGCCGCGTTCTGCACCGCGCGCTTGTTGATGTCGATGTCGCCGTCCTCGTGCAACGCCTTCATTGCTTTTGTCACCTCTTTTGGCTTCATCCCATGACCTGCGCCGTACGGGAGAGCCGGGAGCACAAAAATAAGTGGCGTGTCACCGACAAACAGGGTAACAACGTGGAGGCGACAGCAGTACCACACTTCNAAATGCGTTCAATCTTCTCACTTGTCATCTGATTCACTTGTCCCAGCTGCTCCTCCGTTAGTTTTGATGCGAGGCGAAGCTGGACATCGATGGCGTTACGGTCGACGCTGTGGTTGTGCTTGAGCTTCATGTTGCTAATCTTGGGCCACCTGTGGGTCTTCGCGTGCCGGACGCTAACCTGAAATAACGGAACGGTGGGTCCACAACAAGGATAGAAGAGGGATAAGTAAACGNAGTGGGTCCACAATAAGGATAGAAGAGTAAAAAATACACGATGGATACATGGGATGTGTGTGTGTGTAATGGATCACAACATGGATCATGGATCACAAGACACCCGACCGACCCCTCCCCGATTTTAAATACGCAGTTTGTGGAAACCTGGATATAGGTATCTTCCTAACGGTACTGACGCACATACAACCAGTGAAGATCGGAGACCCTACGAACACAGTTCTACAGGTCTGCAGATGTTTACAAAGAAAGAACCTCCGCCTGCTGTGACCAGCCGGAGCATGAGGGAGCCCACCAAGGCTCACTCTCTCACCTTTCACCCTAGCAAGGCTGACTAACGCCAGCCACGCTTGGCCATTCCTTGCCACATTGCAATAAGAGCGAAATTACCTCCGCTGGTGAACGGTTATTCACCACTTCAGGGACCTTGGCTCATAACGGAGCAAGGGTATTCTCAAGTTCGGACATCTTTTTCAATCTCACGCTCGAAGTCCTCAGACACCTGTTGGACCCTTTCTCCGTCCACTGCACCAAGACATGTTCCGCGGGAGACCAGCTACGTACCTCAAACGGACAACCAGTTCTCGCGCTTCCCTTTACGTTCCGCCGTAGTACCCCAGGTGCTGCAACACGCAACGACATGGGAGACGGAGGTTAGGCGGTGTGTCATCGGCGGGGCGTCATGCATTCACCTGCACCGAAGCATGCCTGCTAACAAAAGGCTTGCGCGCGACTCGACCCGTATTCGTCGCCTCAACCATTCTCCTAGTATGCCCAAGTGCCACGAGGTACAGCACAGCAGGGACAATCCATTGGCGTGCTACACCCACGGAACAAACATTGCCGGTGTCACGCCGAACCGCACTTGTCAAACATCAACCCGTCTCGCCTGCGTTTCCGGCGGAGGGCTGGTGGTCAATACCTGCTGCTGTTGTTGCCGTACGGGGTGGGCTTGTGCAGGGTAGCCTGCAAAAGCTCCCGCAGCGCCAGCATCACGGGCACCGTAACAGGCCGGCAGAGCAGCACTGGATGGAAGCATTCCTAGCAATGACACCACCGCACGGCAGGCCACGGGTCCCACGACGCGAGTATGGAGGGTAGACACATGAAGTTAAGGGGTTGGGCAAGTGCGTGCATATGCCAGCACCTCTACCAGCCCAGTATTGTAGCACCACCATACAGCCGAGCAGTCAGAAGAAAAGACTCCGGATTGCACGGCAAGGACAACAGGCCTGGCCTGACCACACCAGTGCAGGCACATGATCACCAACGTACAAACGACGACAACAACAGGTACAGAGCAGCATCGACAGCGTGGTACAGCATGAGGGAGGCTGCAACACAAAGAGGCAGACTAACACACTCATGGCGCTGGCGCGGGCGCGGCCGTTCCTGTTTTTTTTCTGGGAAAAACATCACAAAAGAGAGGGTGAGGGTGAGGCACAGACACAAGAGGGTGCACGGACGGCTGTCGGGACGGGATCTCACCAGTTATCGTTGTGTGTCGTCTCCTCGTCTTTCCCCAGCGTGCGGGTGCGTGTCGCCGCCTTCAGACGGCTCTCCGCCGCCGTGATTATGTGATTGTATAATAGCTGCTCCTATGGGCCTGCTTTTATATTAGAGGGAGGAGAACCTCTTCGGGGACGCTCTGGGCGGTTTCCCGGCGTTTCGACCCGTCTGGATGTTTGGACTGTGGTTCCCTTTTATGATCCATGGATTGCAAAAAGTTGCGCCCCTCAGCTTGTTGGAGTTGGGTTTTGGCGCACATGCATGTTTGCATGTTTCTTGTAGCGGAGCTGGTATGGATGTATCATTGGATCCAGATACAGCTTTTTGTGGAAACCAGGATATAGGTATATTCCCAGTAGTAGTATGGACGCACATACAACCGTATAGATCCGGTGACTCCAGGAACGACGTTCTCGTGGTCTGAAGATCTTTACAACGAGAAGACCCTCCGTCTGCTGTGACCAGCCGGAGGGTAGAAGCGAGCCCAAAAGCTCACTCTCACCTTCCACCCTAGCAAGGCTGACTAACGTCAACCACGCCTGGCCATTCCTTGCCACATTGCAATAAGAGCGAAATTACCTCCGTCGGTGAACGGTTATTCACCACTTCAGGGACCTTTACCCATAACGGAGTAAGGGTATTCTCATTGTCGTCGACGAAGGGATTCGAACTCTCGCGGGAATAGCCCAACCGCGTAGCAAGCCCCTGGTGTACATGGATGACTTTGTCTGTTGTTCATCGACATGGGAGGGACACTTATAACTGTTGGAAAACACGTTCCAAGCTTTCCAAGCAGCAGGGCTCACCTTGAAACCATCCAAAATACAATTCGGATCACAAGAGGTGAAATCCTTGGGACACACTCTCTCATCAGATGGTATACGTCTTGGTGAGGATCGGATAAAAGCGATACTAGATATACCAACGCCAACAAATATCAAAGAGCTACGATCAGTGCTGGGGACAGTCAACTATGTGCGGAAGTCCATTCCAACTTGGCGACAGTCGCCGCACCCACCCTGGTTGACCTCACGAAAAAAGAGGGAATGAAGTCAGTGGCAAAAGGTTGGGGACCGGAGCACAATAAAGCGTTTGCGGAAGTAAAGAAATTGCTCGCCGCAGCTCCTGTGTTGAACTTTCCGGACTATTCTAAAGAATTTGTAATTCATGTCGTCGATGCTTGTAATGTTGGTACAGGAGCATTCCTAGCCCAACAAGATGGTGACGACCTGAAGATCATAGCATACTTTAGTCAGCGTTTCAACAAAAGCCAACTGCACTTCTCAGTAATCATGGAAGAATGTTACGGTGTTGTTCTAGCAACTCAACATTGGCACCCTTATCTGTGGGGCAGACATTTTACGTGCGTAACTGATCATGCCGCGTTGCGTTATATCTACACGATGCAAGACACGTCAAATATGCTCACACGCTGGGCGATAGCGCTGCAATCATTCGACTTCACGGTAAAACATAAACCAGGAAAGTTGCATGTAGTGCCTGACACGTTATCGCGTCTTTTCGTGTTTGAAAAAGTCCAAGAACGCGAAACACCAACTCCTGCTGCGATCTGCCGCAACGTACCGGAAAACCTGGAGATGCAAATTGCTACGCCCAGCACATCTTACGACCTGTCACCAGACAAGCTTGATAGTGTACAACCTGTGACTAGCGACCGCGAGTTGTTTACTGTCAGTGCTTCGTTCGCCAGTGCGACAGAAGTGATTGAATCTGTTGATCGTGACAAACTACGTGCGAAACAAGCCGAAGAATATGGCGAGTACATCGAATACATAACGAACAAAAAAGCACCGCTCCCTGAACACGAAACGGCAACAACAATGTCGTACTATTCCGTACAAAAGAGTCTTTTGTTCAAGTCGTATTTGCCAGGATACCTTCGGAAAAGGAGTACATTTCGGGATCAGCTAGTGTTGCCACATGTCTTAACGGGTTTGGTGATGCATGCTTATGATCATCATCCCCTTTCGGGAGGACACCTCGCTTACCGACCAACGTACGAAAATATTCGTCAAAAATACTGGTGGAAATCTATGAACCAAGCTTGTCAGCGTAGGAAAACGGCCCACCGCCGTCCGAAGTTACCAATAGGTCATGTACCTGTGCAACGACCGTTTGAACGAATATCGGTCAATCTGGTAGAGTACAAAACCCTATCAGAATCAGCAGGAGGTGTAAAGTGCAAGTATGTCCTGTCAATGATGGACCACCTCACACGCTTCGCAATCTTGACACCCATTCCGAACGAGTCTGCTGAAACGGTAGCTCGGGTAATACTTGATCGGATAATAAGCATCTTTGGACCACCATAAATGTTGACCACCATAAATGTTGCACTCTGATCAAGGCACCGAATTTGAAGACAAGATCATTTTCCAGTTACAGGAATTCCTCGGGTACAAGAAAACCCGAACGACATCGTATCGGCCACAAGGCAATTCAGTGTCAGAACGAGTGCACCCCACCATGCACGCAATGCTGGCGATGCACAGTTCTATGGAGCGAAATAACTGGGCGGAACTCTTGCCGATGGTACAACTAGCGTACAACACATCGTTTAGTACAACCATGCATGAGACGCAGTTTTTCTTCATGTTCGGTCGCCAACCACGTTTTAGATGTAGTTCTTGGGATGCCACATGTCGGGGCAACCGCCGATACCGAGAGTTTTTCTCAACAAACACGAGACAATCTGCAGATCGCGTTTGAACTCGCGCTTCGAAACCTGACGGAACGTGCTGAAAAACAAGCTGCGAAAAACAAAAAGTTGCCGCAGTATCCAGTGTTCAAACCTGGTAAACACGTGCTATTTAGTATACAAGCCACACCAGGACACTGACGGACCAAATCCGAAACTGCTTTTGCCATGGAGAGGACCATTTATCGTTTGCTCTCAACTGTCACCGGTTGTTTATCGTGTAAAACGAAGGAACGATTCGCGGGAAACATCCGTACACCTCGCCCATTTGAAGCAGTATCATGCACGGCAGAAACCTCCAGCACCACAGTTTGAAAAACTGGCTGAATTTTTCTTGGGGAAACAAATACCTTTGCTGTCGCTGAAACAAATCGACGTGAATCAACCGAAAATTGACCGATACATCGTTGACAAAGTGGTAGGCCATGAAACAGGCCCAGGGCCGAAAAGCCAACACAGCTACAAAATCCGGCTGCGTTTACGAGGGTACGGCCCAGAGTCGGACCTAGCGTATCGAGCAGACGAAGTATCACAATGTCATGAAATGATTTCCGCGTACAGATCAAAACACGGTCTGAGCATCGCGCTTGCTGGAAACCAGTCACCTGAAAAGCAGATCCACAAACAGAAACGCGATGATAGTGACGAAAGCAAGAAACCGAGTACGAACAAACGCGCCAAGCAACAAAAGTCGAAAACGGACTCGACATGTAGCAAACAGAGCGTAAAACCAAGTACTCAGCGGAAAAGCAAAAGAGGACGAAAGGCGACTAAAAACTATGCATCTAAAATGCATAACACACGGTGCAACGAATAGCAACCATAAAATTGGAAGCTATACCAGCGGTTGTTTTGGGTCAACCACTGGCAAGGAAAGTCAAGTACACGATTCTAGATGCTGTTTGGGGTCACAACCAAATAGCGTTGTTGATGAGTCGTGAAAACAACAGTCAAAACTGTTAACGCACCGTGCGCCTGTTGAATTCGTCCAGCAATAAAAAAATTGCAACACCCAAGCGGTATGTATGGTCAACGAGAGCCAAACACTGCAGCAAGTCTAAACCTTGAAAGCAAGGGATTTGCAATCATCTGCTCGTGAATGATAGGAGACACGAGGACAATCACCAATCAAAGAGGTGTCGTCGAGTTACTTACAACATAGTGACTCCGGAACAATCTATCACGTATGAGTCTCGGGTACGCGCGGATCCCAGGATATAGGTATCTTCCCAGTAGTAGTATGGACGCACATACAACCGTGTAGATACGATGACCCCAGGAACGACGTTCTCGTGGTCTGAAGATCTTTACAACGAGAAGACCCTCCGTCTGCTGTGACCAGCCGGAGGGTAGAAGCGAGCCCAAAAGCTCACTCTCACCTTCCACCCTAGCAAGGCTGACTAACGTCAACCACGCTTGGCCATTCCTTGCCACATTGCAATAAGAGCGAAATTACCTCCGTCGGTGAACGGTTATTCACCACTTCAGGGACCTTTACTCATAACGGAGTAAGGGTATTCTCATTTTCGAAAATTTTATCTATACCTCACTATCCGAGGACAGTTGACAGTGCCGTGTGGAGTACACACGTGTTGGAAACAACACCGTACGGATTTAATCTCTCCAAGGCTCGTACAAGCTACCAGGTATTATTGATGTCAATCAATGATGTATCAAAGCTTATTTTCGTTACATATCAAGAATTTGTACAACTTTGTGCGGGTTCTGGTTCGCGTAACCATACCGCTGGGTGTAAGCAATCGTGTTGCTTGTTGAGTACGATAGGCATACGGTGTTCGACAGTCTTAAGACTGTTTTCGTGACTCATGATTAGTGTCATCGAGTTGCGACCCTCAATTCCACTTGAGACCGGTTAACTTGACATTTCCTCGCCAGAATTTGACCCAACCAAATGCTGGATAGCAACCTTATTGTTTGGATGCTATTCCTTTCACCGTTTAGACACTTTGTAAATGTATCATTTGTTTGCCTTCGGGCTTCATTTACTTTTTTTCCGCTGAGTACTTTTCTTGTTCACGCATTTTGTTCGCTTGGTACACAACGTGTTTGGCCTTGCTTTGTGCTTTGCGCGCTTGTTTGTACTCGGATCCCTACCTTCGTCGCGTTTTCGTTTCGCATTTTTCCGCGGCACTTCGGACGATTTCTTGGCGGGCGCGATGTCCAGATCATGTTTTGATCGGTATGCGGCAATCATTTCGTGACATTGCGGCAATTCGTCGGCACGATACATCAGATCTGATTTAGGACCGTATCCTTTCAGTCTTAGACGATATCGATAGTTGTGCGGACCTTTTCGGCCTTGACCGCTTCGATGCCCTACCACTTTCAGTACGACATATCTTTCAATTTTCGGTTGACTTTCTTTCGTCGGTTGCTGTCAGGGCAGGTAAGGGAGTTTGTTTCCCAAGGAACTATTCCGCCAGTTTTCCAAACTGTGGTGCTGGTGGTTTTTCCCTTTCATGGTACTGTTTTAGATGGGCAAGATGCACGGATATCTCTCGTGTTTCACTGACTCGCTTCACCCTATACACAACTGGCGACAGTTGTGAGCACATGGTACATGGTCCTCGCCAAGGTAAGAACAGCTTCGGATTTGGTCCATCTATATCCTGGTGTGGACGGGGTACTGCGGTAACTTTTCGTTTTTCGCAGCTTGCCTCTCTGCACGTTCCGTGAGGTTTCTTCGCGCTAGTTCGAAAGCGGTTTGTAGATTTTCTCGTGTTATTTTAGCAAAACTCTCGGTATCTGCAGTTGATCCGACATGTGGGATCGCGAGAATTACATCTTCCGGTAACGGTGCTTGGCACCAAACATCAAAGTACGGTGTCTCATGCATGGTTATATTAAACGACGTGTTATACGCTAGTTGAACCATTGGCAGGAGATGCGCCCAGTTGTCACGATTCATGGAGCTATGCATTGCGAGCATGGAATGCATCGTTGAATGCACACGCTCAGAGGCCGAATTACCTTGCGAACGATACGGCGTCGTGCATGTTTTCTTGTAGCCCAGGATTGTTTGCAACTGATAGATTATCTTGTTTTCGAATTCAGTGCCTCGATCAGAGTGCAGCATTTCAGGCGGGCCAAAGCTACTGATAATCCGATCAATGACTACACGTGCAACGGTTTCAGCAGTTTTGTTTGGAACCGGTGTGAGAATTGCATAACGCGTCAAGTGGTCCATCATGGAAAGCACGTATTTACATCACTGCTGACATTGAGAATGATTTGTACTCGACTAGGTCGACTGATACTCTTTCAAACGGCTGCTGTACAGGTACGTTACCCGTCGGCAGTTTCGGACGGCGGTGAGGTGTCTTTCTCCATTGACAGGCCTGGCATTCTAGGCACCAAGTCCGGATGTCACGGTTCATTGACTGCCACCAATATTTTTGTCGTATTTTTTCGTACGTTGGACGAAATGCGAGGTGTCCACCTGAAAGAGCGTGATCATGGTATGCGTGCATTACTAAACCGGTGAGGTAATGTGGGACTACAAGTTGATCACTAAAAGTGCTCCATTTTCGTAGGTGTCCTGGCAGATAAGATTTAAACAGTAAACCGTCTTGTATGGAATAGTACGACATTGATATTGCCGTTTCGTTGTCTGGTAGCGGTGCGTTGGCGTCTAAAACGTATTGGACGTATTTGCCGTATTCTTCGGCTTGTTTCTCGCGCAATTTCTCATGCTTAACCCTCCTAGTACCCGGTCCCTCCGCAAAAAAAAATGCCGAAAAAATGTTTGTCAGCCATTGGTCGANTACTAAACCGGTGAGGTAATGTGGGACTACAAGTTGATCACTAAAAGTGCTCCATTTTCGTAGGTGTCCTGGCAGATAAGATTTAAACAGTAAACCGTCTTGTATGGAATAGTACGACATTGATATTGCCGTTTCGTTGTCTGGTAGCGGTGCGTTGGCGTCTAAAACGTATTGGACGTATTTGCCGTATTCTTCGGCTTGTTTCTCGCGCAATTTCTCATGCTTAACCCTCCTAGTACCCGGTCCCTCCGCAAAAAAAAATGCCGAAAAAATGTTTGTCAGCCATTGGTCGAGGGGTTACAGTCCCTCCAAAGAATCTGAGCTCCTTGCCAGACAAAGGGTGACTTGGCTTCAGTATGAAAAGTGTCCCCAAAACACGGGGACACTTTTCAAACTGAAGCCAAGTTAGCAAATTTTTCCAGCACTAGGCGATGTACAGTTTTGCGAACTGGGGGGCACGCGGGTTGGGAGATGTGTACAGCAAGTCAGAGGCCCAGGAGAGGCATCACACAGCATACACAGCGTACCACCTCAGCCAAGCATGATAGACCAATGGCCCTCACGTACGTTGCATACAGCGGAGCCTAGGTTGACTACAATGCGGTAAANGTGGGGACACTTTTCAAACTGAAGCCAAGTTAGCAAATTTTTCCAGCACTAGGCGATGTACAGTTTTGCGAACTGGGGGGCACGCGGGTTGGGAGATGTGTACAGCAAGTCAGAGGCCCAGGAGAGGCATCACACAGCATACACAGCGTACCACCTCAGCCAAGCATGATAGACCAATGGCCCTCACGTACGTTGCATACAGCGGAGCCTAGGTTGACTACAATGCGGTAAATAGGCCTTTGTTGAGTGCTGTGTCCCAAAGTGTCCCCAAATCGTCCCCAAAAAAAAGGCTTCCAGTACTAGGAGGGTTAACAGATTCAAATGTTTCCGAGGCGCTGACGAGATGTGAATTGACTATGAATAATTCCCTATCACGAAGGACTGGTTGCACACCGGCACCGACGTTAAAGTGGACGGAAGCCGCGAAGGTAGAGGGGGGAGTACCCTGGCATGCGGCGGTGCTGCAGGCAGCTGAGAGGTTCATGACCTCCTGGCACGAGAAGGAAGAAGAGACCAGCCGACAACGGGCGCTCAAACGAAACCATAAGCCACCAACCAATGGGGCGGGAGGGGGGCAGGTGACGGAAGAGGCGGCGAGGGAAAAAAGCAAACGAGAAGAGACGGACCGAGTGGCGCGACACGTGCCGGATTGAGTTTCTTTTAGCCAATTCCCCCCCTCCCAACGCTGCACCATTGCACCAACCCCCCACTAGTGATGACGTACCATTACAATGTATCCCTGGTTGGTGGCCATGTTTGCGTGTTTGCTTGTCGTTAGTGGTCTCTCCTCTCCACCGTGTGCCTTTTTCTGTCTCTTATTTCTTGTTATTTTCGGCCTGGTCCCTTTTTGTCCTTGCTCTTTTTATTTCATTTTCTCTTTCCTTACTGTTTCCTTTTATTTTCTTCTCTTTTTCTCTTGTTCTCTTTTTCTCTCTTTTTCTGTGCCAGATGGCCTTGTTTCTGCTTACGTTGTGAAGTACCAAGATTGAACCAAGGGGGNTCCAATTTGTCAGTCGAAATTTGGTATGGTCTGCTTGGCATGTGTTGTTGCAGCTTTGGATCGTCCGGTACATTTCGGCAAATCGGTGCAAGGTTCGGCGCAGTTCGTTCTTGTTCATTATCGAACACGAAAAGTCACGATAACGTATCCGGCACTACATGCAACTTCCCCGGATTGTGTTTTACCGTGAAATCGAACGATTGCAGTGCTATTGCCCATCTAGTGAGCATATTTGACGTGTCTTGCATCGTATAAAGACATCGCAATGTCGCATGATCAGATACGCACGTAAAATGTCTACCCCATAAATAAGGACGCCAGTGTTGAATTGCTAGCAACAGCATAGCATTCTTTCATGGCGGTAGAGTAGTGTTGTTGGCTTTTGCTGAATCGCTGGCTAAAGTATGCTACGATATTCACGTCATCGCCATTCTGTTGTGCCAGGAATGCTCCTGCTCCCACTTCAGGTGCGTCTACGTGGATAACAAACTCTTTAGAGAAGTCCGGAAAATGCAAAACAGGAGCGTTGGTGACTAATCGTTTCACTTCGGCAAATGCTTCATCATGTTTCGGACCCCAGCGTTTCGCTACCGACTTCACTGCGTCTTTCTTCGTTAAGGTCAACCATTGGTGCGGTGACGGCGGCTAAGTCTGAGATGAATCTCCTGACATACTTGACCGTTCCAAGGACTGATCGCAGACTTTTGGTGTTTATTGGCGTTGGCAACTCTAGTATCGATTTTATCCGATTTCACTCACCTACACGTATGCCATCTGCGGAGAGAATATGCCCCAAATACTTCACTTCCTTTGGCCCAAGTTGTACCTTTGATGGTTTAAATGTAAGACCTGCGGCTTGTAGCGCTTGAAAGGTATTTTCCAAAAGAGAGATATGACCCTCCAATGTAGATGAACAACAAATAAGATCATCCATGTACACGAGAAGACCAGATTTTGGACCAAAATGTGCGAAAAAGTCAATGCCATCGTGTAGTCCGTGCACAACAATTTGTCCAATTACGTTTTGTGCGATAACTTCGTTTGGAAAAAGAATTGGAACGTGAAACAACGATAGTCGTGACCGCCTCGTCGAGATACGTCGATAGCTGCAGAGTTTTTTTTTTTTGCGATATGCAACATTTTTGGCAAAAATCATACACGGAGCACCCCAAACATGACATACCCCCTATGCATTCACGGAACCCCCTAACCGTGCCCCCGAAGAGCCCTCTTGCCCTTTACCACCTGCTCAAAATACACCACGACACCCCCTGTTTGCGTTTGTACAGATACTATACCACGCTTGCTCGACAATACCCTCGAAGGTCAAGCACGCCAATGTATACACGTGAACGAAACTCCACACTCCGCAGTAGTAGTCTGTACACGTAAAAAAAAAATAGACATCACTACACTATACGTCCATCAAATCGGCGTTGTCGTGGCCGTCGGAGAGCGCATCACCAGCGCCGCGTGACGGAAGATCATGTTGCTGCGCCGGCTTCGGTTTCTTCGGAACCGCCCGGCCATCGGCTCCGCGCTTGCCGATTTTCTTCTTCTTAGGCCGTGGCATGGTGCTTGCTTGCTTGCGTGCGTGTCTCGTGTTGTTCGGGCCGCCACGTGTGCCAATTTGTTGTGGGAGCGTCTTGCCCAACAGCAAAAAATCTCCGATAGCACGGCACGACAAAATGTGGAATATCTCGAGAACCGGAGTTTTCCCGGATAAAACAAAAAATTCCCATCTAGAGACTGATGAGAGAAATCGTTTGCCGCTGTTTATTTTGGAATCGGTTGGTCAGTTGTTGTGCTGTAAACGAAACAACTTGACCCTCTAGATCCAGTTTTTCCTGGATATTTCCTTCTGAATTCAATTCCAAGAGTTAGAAAAAATTAAAAATACCCATCTGCGGAATTCCGAGATCTGTTCAAATCCGTTGAGATATTGTGAATCGGCAAAAAACTCCACCCCCTGTATGTAAACGAAACAAGTTTTTCCGGTTTTTCGGAAGTAAAAAAGTCAAGGAAAAGAAAAGAAAAAAAAAACTCTCCGCCACGCCCTGCGCCTGTAAACAGGGCGTTTGCCGGTACTTTCAGATTTTCGAACAACCACCTGTGTGCAGAGAAATATTGCACTTTGTGCATAGGAAATTATTGGACAAATTTTGTGCACTGACCGTACGTTGAAACAGAAAAGGCGCATTATTGGCGATGCCAAAGGGGAGTCGTTTAGAAACCCATTTTCCGTCCCGAGTAACGAATGCAGTCTTGTATTGTTCTGCTTCGGCAATTTGTATTTGGTGGAATGCACTTTGTACATCGCAGACTGTGATGTATTTAGCACCTGCTACTGTGTCAATATGACTTACTTGCCATTTCAGGCATTGGCCACGATTTACGAATTATATTCTTGTTGATCGTCGCTCTGTAATCTACACAGAATCGGGGACTGCCGTCAGCTTTTGCTACCCACGTTACTGCTGACCCCCATGGGCTCGCTCTTTGTTCGATTATCCCAGCTTCTTCCATTTCACCAACGCTTTTGTCAATAACCTCTTGCATTCGTGGATTTGCAAGAAGATATGGAGCTCTGTTGACTGGCCTTGTTCCTGGTTGCAATGGAAGTTCAGCCTCTCTCTGTGAGAGTACATTTGCCCAGTTCTTTAGGACTCAGGGATAACACTGAACGGTATTTGATACACAGTTAAGTATTTCTTCACACTGGTCGGGCAAAAAAGTTGTATCTCTGAAAGCTTTGGCTAATAATGCCTTTTGAGATCTGTACGGATTTTTTCCGTTTCTTCCGGGCTCGTTTGAACGCTGCTCATTATTTTGTGGCAGCACTGTTTTCACTGGAGAAATAGTCTAGACTATATAGCCGATGATAAGTGTATTTCTCTTCAGGGATACCGATCTGTGAGAAGGGTTGGCCAGTTGTGCCATTGCATTTTTGTTGTGCTTATACCAGTGACAGACTGTGCGTGCTACTATCACCCTACGGAATGCATGTGGTGTATCCTGCTTGCCAACGTCATCGGACGTAACGATGCGTGGTTCAACTACGGCAGCTGTGGTTTCATCTGGCACCTCAAGCGAATGAATTTCGACAGTTATTTCATGTTGTGCAGGTATGCTGCACTTCCGTGTAGTGTATACAGGCACTGCAGGCGGTTCCCTCTCTACTGCCACCACAGAACAGTTAATACTCTTTTCCTAATCGGTCGTGGAATAGCGCGTATTGCGGTGGACTGGTGGAATTTTGGTTGTTTTAAACGACAATTCTTCCGCTTGCCAACCAAGAACACCACTAAATGCGCCCATTATGCTATTGTCGATTAGCATATTATCAGGTCCCAACGACGGCAGCACTAGAGCTTCAACAGGTAATGTGATTTCTGCTAGTGTCAGTTCAAATTGAGTGCACCCTGCAATTTTTAGGGGCGAACCATCGGCGCTGCGCAGATTGATTGCTCCCGGGGGTGCTGGAAATATTTCCGTGTTTTTCAACGTTTTGTGACTTCTCATGAACTTCCGTGAAATGCATGGTATGTCACACGCCGTGTCGATTGTCATTTCGTCAAGCGATTCATTGTTTATTCTGGCGGGTACCCGTACTCGCTTGGATGTCGATCNTTATTTCATGTTGTGCAGGTATGCTGCACTTCCGTGTAGTGTATACAGGCACTGCAGGCGGTTCCCTCTCTACTGCCACCACAGAACAGTTAATACTCTTTTCCTAATCGGTCGTGGAATAGCGCGTATTGCGGTGGACTGGTGGAATTTTGGTTGTTTTAAACGACAATTCTTCCGCTTGCCAACCAAGAACACCACTAAATGCGCCCATTATGCTATTGTCGATTAGCATATTATCAGGTCCCAACGACGGCAGCACTAGAGCTTCAACAGGTAATGTGATTTCTGCTAGTGTCAGTTCAAATTGAGTGCACCCTGCAATTTTTAGGGGCGAACCATCGGCGCTGCGCAGATTGATTGCTCCCGGGGGTGCTGGAAATATTTCCGTGTTTTTCAACGTTTTGTGACTTCTCATGAACTTCCGTGAAATGCATGGTATGTCACACGCCGTGTCGATTGTCATTTCGTCAAGCGATTCATTGTTTATTCTGGCGGGTACCCGTACTCGCTTGGATGTCGATCGTAATACAGTACCGATGGACACACGGGATATCCAGCGAGTGCAGACATGTAAAAAGCATGAAATTCTTCATTACTACGGTTAGTTCTCAATATTAGGTAAGACCTATGTTTCGACCTGAAGTCCCCAGCTACGGTAGCTACGAGCAAGGCTTGCGGCGCTAAACAGGCGGCTACTTGCCTTACTTGGGTGCTATCCCCTAGTGCTGGATCTACAGCGGCTACTGCATCAGTTGCGCGGGTACTTGACTTCGGGACTCCTCGCGTTTGCTTGCTGCTACAACCTTCGCGAGAATGTTCTAGTGGTACATGTACCTCAACTGTCTTTCTACAGCGCTGCTCTTTGACTGCTTTTCTTGTTGTTCCCACCAGAGATCGTACACCATTGTTCCAGTGTTTTGAATCCCTCTCATCTACTCTGGCTCTCTTCTGCTTGCTCGTGCTTTGCAGTCTATCCCAGTTTGTGCTTACTGATTTGACAGAACCAAATGATTGGTGTCCCACGTTGGCCGAGGGATGCTGCCTACTCGGGCGACCCCTGTTTTTTGTAACCGTGTACCCCTCATTTTTGGCGGCTTGTTCGTTTTTTGCACTCCGCGCGGGTGTGCGTAAAGCGAATGTTACTGAATCGGCAACCAATAAAGTCACATTTCATGCGATGTTTTGCGGTGTCAGACTTGGCAGTACCATCGATACTTTCGCCTTCGCCCGCGCGGGAGGACCCCGGGATTTGGAATTATCCTTATCACGTTTGTCGGTCCCCCGCCGAGCACGCCCACTGCGTTGTGCGCCGTATGCTCCACCACTGGACACGAACGCTTCTTGCCCTGAAATATAGTTGTCAATGGCAGTGATGCGGTCTTTGTTGTCGTCCGCAGTACTTTGAAGCTGCCCGGGACGAGCAGAGTCGTATACGGCAGAGGTGGTAGCCGAGATGGGGGCAGGGGGCGAGCGCAACTTATTGGACTCGTGTCTACGAGCACGCGCTTTCGACTCCATGAAAGAATCGGATGGATCTGCCCGCATCATCTCTACGCGAATGTGGGGGTGTACACCGTTTTCGAAAGATGCAGTGAGAGCTTGGTTGAAAGCATGTTCATGAGGTGGTACATTCAGCGGAGCTGTGCATTCAGCTTCGTCTAGGAGTCTGGCATACGCGCGTGATACTCTGAGCGCAAACACGTCAACTGATTCGCTAGTATTCGCTTCTAATGTCATGACATCACGTGCAAGAAGAGCGATCCGGTTGGCGGGAGCGAACGATGTGGTGAAAGCCGTGACCCGTTCCTTCCATGTTTTCGGAGGTGTGACTCGGACCACTTCCCCACGTGCACGCAACGCATTTTGCTGAGCTGGCGGTCGCCATTCGAGAGATGAGCTAGGCATGAGGCTGAGACTTTGAGCTGCGGCACCTCGCACGAAGAGCGCGAGATATTTGATTGCGCGGTGATCGATTGTGCTTTGAGAGATGTTGCCTGCAGACAACAGACCGATGTGCGCCCTGTAGGGTACCATTTTTTCGGGAACATCTTCGTGAGGCAGACCCTCGAGCTTGAGATCAGGAGGTAAGTCAGTAGCTTTCAAAGTGAATCGCGCCGTGCTAATCACGTCCTGGTTTACCGTGGTTTGGGTTACCGGGGTAGGGCTGTCCTGGTTTACCGTTTGCCGGTTTACCTGGTTCGGTGAGGCCTGGTTTACCGTGTTGTGGTTTACCGGGTCAATAGGTGAAATTGTCGGTGTAGACATATTCCTAGCAGGGGTCTGTTGAACACTTGCTGTCGTGTG